GTCCTTAGTACCAGGGGGAATAAAAAAGTTGACATATTTACTGGGGTATCATCATCTGTAATAGTAAAATGGAGAACTGAAGTCTTTCTAGATAATTTTCAACAGTCAATAAAACTGAATGGAGCATGCAAAAGCTTGAGTGCCATCCTAAGGCTCCAGAGTACCTGCCAAGAGGGTCATGTCCTGCCTCCAGCAGCTGAAGACAGGACAGCACTAGCCTCCTCAACTTTTCTGCCCTAATGCACCAAAGGAATAGGCTGGAATTCTACCAGCATCTACAACTCAGAGGGGCTGGGGGAGAGGGGACAGTATTTGTAGTTTATCAAGTCTCCAAGACTTTGGGAGTCTATTAAAATAATGTCAATTCCTGGGAGAGAGAAGAGCAGTGCTTTTATGGGTCACTCAATCATGCCTTGCATGGTAGAATCATCAGGGGAGCTTGTTAAGAATGCAGTTTCTAGGATTCCATCCCCAGAGTTTCGCATTTTTAACAAGCACACTTTCAAAGTGCACTTTGAAAAACCTTAGCCTGCCAGGGAAGGCGTTTTGTGGGCTGGAGCTTCAGAGGACTGAGTGCCCATGGGCTCCCACGCTCTTCTAGTTCCCTCAACTTCCCTCCAGCCTGGAAGACAGGCTTGAGCCACCTGAAGGAGGGGTGAGTCCAAAGCATCAGAGAGCAGGGTCTCAGTAGGGCTCTTGGCTGTTACTTAACCTCAGCTCTCAGCCTTTCTAATCTGTAAAATTCTAACTGTAGATATCGCTAAGGTCCCTTCATCTTTAACATTTGTAGCATTTGATGACTGAACTTTTATTTATTTATTTATTTTGCTCAGGGCCACCAGCTGAGAGAGAGGAGGTGTAACAGAACAAGACCCCTTGTCACCGCCCCTCCCAATCACCACCTTATGCCTGGCACTTTGCTCTTTCTCTATTTGCCCCTCACAATTCTTTATTATTTATTTATTTATTTATTTTTTAGATGTTGAAAGACCTTTATTTTGTTTATTTATATGTGGTGCTGAGGATCAAACCCAGTACTTCACAGATGCTAGGCAAGAGCTCTACCACTGAGCCATGGACCCAGCAACTCCCTTACAACTCTTTTGTCTGCCATATTTCCCACATCTAATGATTAGGAGTGGACTCCAGACTCAGTGGGGCAGTGTCCTTAAAGGCCTGGGAAGGGCTTTTCTAGCTTTTCGATCTAAAAACCTGTTTATCGAGGCCGGGGTTATGGTTCAGCAATAGAGTACTCGCCTCACATGTGCAACGCCTAGGGTTTGATCCTCAGCACCACATAAAAATAAATAAAATAAAGTTAAAAAAAAAAAAAAAGCTGTTTATCCAGTTGTGGACCCTGCACTCACTCTCCAGGGCATGTGACAATTGTTTTTTCTTTAAAAAAATGTTTTTAGTTGTAGATGGACGTAATATCTTTATTTTTGTTTATGGTGCCAAGGATTGAACCCTTCTGCTTGCAAGACAAGCGCTCTACCGCTGAGCTACAACCCCAGCCCAACAGGTGATAGTTTTATATCATGGCTGCAGGTGGCCTCTGTGAATCTATACCTTACTGCCAGATCCCAAGTCTCAGCCCACTGATCCCTGAAGATTTTCCAGGGAATTATTTCCATCCGGGCAACTCAAAGAAGTTTGGTGTGTTGTACATCCAAAACAGCCCTTCAGTGTCCAACCTCCTGTGTGGTGCTACAAGTCTCATTCCTTGATACCTCCAGAGTACAAGGCAAAGACTCTAGACCAGTGGGGCTTGGCCTGGGCTGCACCTTGGAATCATCTGAGCAGCTGGAGGTGGGGAGGCAATCAGGACAAAGCTACAGGTGATTGTAATAGGCATTCAAGGTCAAGAAGGTCTGTTTAGAGCCAGTGAGGACCAGGATTGGTTCCCACTCTTCCTCAGTGTGAGTACAGTGCTTAATCCACTCTGGGTCTCAGTTTGCTCATCTGTGAAATGCCACTGTAGTAGTATCACCTTTATAAAGCTGCTAAAAGATTAAATGAGGGGCTGGAGTCATATCTCAGTGGTAGAGCACTTGCCTTGCATGTGTGAGGTACTGGGTTCAATCCTCAGCACCACATTAAAAAAAAAAAAGAAAGAAAAGATTAAGGTGAAATAATGTTTAGAGACTATAGAGTTTGTAGAGTACCGTGCCTGGCCAAAAAGTAACAGATTAGGGGCTAGGAATGTGACCCAATGGTAGAGTATTTGTCTAGCATGCATGAGGCCCTGGGTTCAATCCCAAGCACTCAAAACAAATGAACAAAAACAAGTAGCAGGTAATATTAGTGTGATAGGGTACATTCGTGAGTTGGGGGCCCTTCTGGCAAGGGAGGAAATCCAACACCATTCTACCCTACACTGACCCACTTCATTCCCCCACCTTGTAGACAGCATCCCTCAGGCTTATGGAGTTGGACAATCTAGGCCTGAACAGGAATTAGCTGATCCTCCCAGAGGAGAAGGTGAGAGCCCCCAGTTAAGGTAGCAGTGGCATGGTGGTGGACTCACTGGGGATGTAGTTCCCCTGAGAAACAGGAGCAGGGAGGGGTCTGGGAGCCCTGTGCTACGGGAAGCCTCAGAATACCATGTGGGGATTCTTAGAAAGCTTGGCTCAGGAGGAAAAGGAGCCACCACTGCTCCCCAATGGGGCCTAGGGCCAGGCCAGGATCCTGCCACCCAGCCTGAACACATGCCCTGCCCCCAGGAAGCCCTCACAATCTTGTGGGGTTTCAAGTAGTTCAAAGGGAAGAAAAAGGACCTTCAAAAGACCTATCTTTAGCTAACTGTAGGGGCACATGCCTGTAATCCCAGCAACTCGGGAGGCTGAGGCAGGAGGATCACAAGTTCAAAGCCAGCCTTAGCAAATTAGGAAGACCCTGTCTCTAAATAAAAAATAAAAAGGGCTAAGGATGTGGCTCAGTGGTAAAAGACCTGTGTTTAGACTCTCATAGGCCATAACAAGGGAGGACTGAAACTGGATTTGTTTTCACTTGGAAAAACAAAGTGTGACATTTCTCATGATCTGTGTGCTATGAAATAAACTGCACATCAGTTATGATTGTGGTGCTTCCTGATTCCTCTTTCCCCCTTTCTTCCTTCTCTGCCTTCCTTTAGGTATGCCTGAGGAGTCTGGCACCTTCCTTTGAGGCTTTCTGTCCCCTTCCTGCCACCTTCACCTCCTTCAGATCGCCACCCACTTCCCCTGCCCACCCTGAGCTGAGTAAGGGGCTCCATGATGCTGCCTAACTGTAATACCTGTCATATATTGCTTCCTCTTGTGATTTTGTCAGCTCCCCATGTCTGTCTTTCTCAACATCCTATCCTCTGAGCCAAGCAGAATGCCTGAATGCACTAGGCACTTAACATAATCTGATTGGATGGATGGATGAAGGGATAAACAGATACAGTCATCCCATCTTGGGTGACAGCCGGGGACAAGCAGAGAAATGGCAGATGCAGGAAGCACAGAACTCGAGGAGGAAGTAGAAATGAATTGCAGCCTTGAGAATTCCCTCTGGCCTAATCAAAAAGCAACTGTAAATTGAGTAAAAGCTAGAAAGCAGCATAAATAATGTTGCCAAAGGCATTAAGGAGATCCTTATCAGACACAGTGAAAGTGACTTGCCAAATTTTTCACCCAATGGAACCTTGTTGTTGCAGTTATTAAACTGTTTCTATATTCATTTTACTCATAAGGAAAAACCTGCATCTTTTGTGGCTCTTGATAATTAGATGAAAAATGTATATTTGTAATGTGTTGGTAATCCAGGCTATGTCTACTTAATGTATTGGGCTGTTTTATTCAGTCACTGCTTTCTGGGTTTGTAGGCATGATGGCCAGGCATGCTTAAAAAGAATGTTTAGGGTCAGAATGTTCAAAGCCAGAATTGGCAACTTAGTAAGGCCCTAAGCAACTCATTGAGACCTTGTCTCTAAATAAAATATTAAAAGGGCTAGGGATGTGGCTCAGTGGTTAAGCACTCCTGGGTTCAATCCCCCCATACCAAAAAAAGAAAGGTTAGGGCTGGGGATGTACTTGGTGGTAGAGCAGTGGCCTAGCATTAGGAGGCCCTGGATTCCATCCTTAGCACCTGGGCATGGGGGCGGGGCATGGGAGTTAACCTAAAGAATTGCAGAGGGGGCTGAGGTTGTGGCTCAGTGGTAAAGTGCTCACCTAGCACGTGTGAAGCACTGGGTTTGATCCTCAGCACCACATAAAAATAAAAACAAATAAAAATAAAGGTATTGTGTCCAACTACAACTAATATACATACATATATATATACATACATATACACACACACACACTAAATAAATAAAGAAAAGAAAAGAAATGCAGAGGCCAGGTGGTTGTGGTACACATCTGTGATCCCAGCTACTTTGGAGTCTGAGGCAAGAAGATTGCAAGTTCAATCAGCACCCCAGGGTTCCATGCCCAGTACCAGAAAAGAAAAACAAAATGGAAACAAAACAAACAAACATAGTTCAAGGATATTCTTGGGAAGAGATTCTAGAGGGCTGTGAATATTACTGTGCCTAGATGTTAGACATGAATATATGTGACAATATAGTAGAATATAGAATGATAAAATATACAGAATATTTATAGAATAGAGTATATGCTTGAATATGTTATAGAATGTAAAATCTAGAATTAAAGTGTTAGCAAACCACTAGAACTCTTATGCTTTTGAATACCTTCCCTACCCTAAACCCCACTCTCAGAGGGCCAGGGTAATCTTGGTTCAATTGTGGAAAAGGCAGTGTTAGTCTTTTTAATAGCTTTAGCTGAAGCTTAGGCGGCCATAATGCACCTGGCCTTCTGCTCCATGTGTGGGGCCCCCAGGCATCAACAACCCTTGTGCACCTGTGGCCTCTGCATTGCCCCCCCCCCCCCCCCCCCCCCCGGCCCCCCCCCCCCCCCCTCCCCCCCCCCCCCCCCCAAGGTCCGAGTGACCCCCTGTTCTTCTGTGCTTTCTAGGTTCTTCTCTCTCAAGGCCATCTGTGGTGGAAGCACTCAATCTCAGGATCCAGAGAGACCAAACAGGATTCTTGACATTCCGATGATAATCTGAGGCATGGATGGGCAAGTGACTTCTGGAAGCTGTGGCTAGTCCTGATGCCCTGAATCATCTAATTCATGAAGGAACCAATTAACATAAAGGATCAACCACTGAACACTTGAGATTGTGGTTTTTTTGTTTTTCCTTCCCGAAAATATCTTTGTTGTTCGAAAAACAAAAATAAGGGCTGGGGATGTGTCTCAGTGGTAGGGCAATTGCCTAGCATGCATGAAGCCCTGGCTCCCATCCCCAGCAAGGCAAAGAAAGAAAAGAAAAAAAAAAACAGTGGGAGAGGGGAATACTTAAACTAAAATGTTCTCATTTTAGAACTTCAAGTTCATGTCAACTGTGTAGGGGAGATACCTTAGGGACCAGGGTTCTCTTTATATTCCTCTAACACTAGGCCCTTCTCAGTTTTACAGTTGATGGAGTCAGTGCAGCCAACCCACATAAATTATCTCTTTCCAGTTTCTTCTTAGAACTTTCTTGAAGTGGAATTTCAGGAGGTCTCATGTCTCTAGTGAAAAAATTTATTTCCACTAACTAGTAAATCTCTCCAAGGTGGAGTCAAGACCTTCATTTCTGTCTTCCTAATAGTGCCTTGCACCTAATAGGCACTCGATGAGAGGTTTAAATTGATTTATAAATGGATTATTAAGGAGGGCCCTTCAATTACACCAACATTTACTGGCTGCAGTAGTTCCTGCCAGGGAGCACAATGGGACCTCCTGTCAGAAAAGCCTGTGAACAAAATAGCCTTCCTGCTTTCCTCATGGGCCCCACTGTTCTCCTGGGGAACAAACTGAGTTTCAAATTGACTTCCTATTCCTTTTAAGTAAATAGGAAAAAGGGGGCAATAGAAGCCATTGTACCTTATCCCCCCAGCTCTGCAATTTACTATTTTAATGCAAATTTTAATGAAATAATGAGAAGAGGCTCACAGACAATGCGTGCAGCTACTCAGGCAATTATGTAAAGTGAATGAGGTTGGAGAGCAGTGTCCTAACTGCAGGGATGGTGGCAAGACCAGTTTCATACAAAATAGACCCCCAGCCATGGACATATTTGCTGGGACTGCCTCTGAAAGTCTGCTCAATTCTTTCCCAGAGCATGAGTGCCCTTCCTTGGAGGCAGAAGTTGGGGTAAGAGGGTGAAAGAGAAAGGAAAGCCAGACTTTTAGCTATAGCTTGGTGGAGGGATATGTCCCAGTGGTAGAGCACTTGTCTAGCATACACAAATCCTTATGTTCAGGGGTCAGAATATAGCTCAGTTGGTAGAGTGTTTGCCTTGCATACATAAGGTCCTGGGTTCAATCCCCAGCACCAAAAAACATAAGAAAGGTCCTTGCGTTCAGCCCCCTGGGTTCTGAAACCCCAGGTTCCTAGCACCAAGAAAAACAGAACAAAGGTCCTTGCATTCAGCCCCCTTGTCCCAGCCCCCAACACACAGGTTCCCAAGTCCAACACGGGATACTAAGATGGCTCATTTTATTTATTCTTCATAACAACCCTTAAGAGCAAGGGTCAGGGGCTGGGGCTGGGGCGGTAGAGCGCTCGCCTGGCACGTGTAAGGCACCTGGTTTAATCCTCAGCACCACATAAAAATAAATAAATAAAGGTATTGTGTCCATCTATAACAACAACAAAAAAGCAAGGGTCAGCAAACTATGTCCCTTAAACCAAATCTGGTTCACCATCTCTGTTTAGTGTTTTCTGTGGAGCTGGGGACAGAACCCAGGGCCTTGCACAGGTCAGGCAAGTGTTCCACCACTGAACTACATGCCCACCTCATTGTCTATTTTACAAATAAACTTTTACTGAAACACAGCCATGCTCATACATTTACATATTGTCTATGGCTGCTTTCAAACTGCAATGGCAGAATCAAGTACTTCAGAAAGAGACCATTTGGTTCACAAAGCCACAAACATTTACTGTTTGGTCCTTTGTAGACAAAGTATGCGGAACCCTGTCTTAGAGAAAGGCATTCATATTAATCAGGATAAGCTACATTAGCTGCAGAGCAAATTGTCCCGGAAATTTCAGAGGCTTCACATAACAGGTGTATTTTTCACTTAGGTGACATCTATTGTGGGTAAGCAGCGGGTTCTGCTCTACTTAGTAATCCAGGGACCAGGCTGGGGAAAAAAAAAGAAAGAAAGAAAGAAAACCACTATGTCAACAGTTGTTTTCATGGCAGGGAAAGGCAGAGCCATAGATAATATGTAAATGTATGAGCATGGCTGTGTTTCAATAAAAGTTTATTTCTAAAATGGACAATGAGGTGGGCATGTAGTTAGTGGTGGAGAGTTGCATGCTAGCTTTGTGATGCCTCATTTGGAAAGTGGCCTGCTCACCTTGGCTGCCACTAATCAGATGGTACCACCTGACTGCAAGGAGGCTGGAAAATGTGAGGGAAGAGGCACATGGTTGTTTTGGTGAGCAGTGAATATCCACACACTGCTGTCCCCTCCATTGGACAGATAAAGAACCAAGTGGCAGTTCCAGAGTTCTGAAATGATGCGGTCAGGATTCCAATTCTGGCCTTTCTAGTCCTAAAGCCTGTACTCTTCTCGAAATCCCATGCTGCCTGCCATTCATTTATTTTCAGTCAGTTCCATTAATCAATTTCATTGAAAGTTGGATCCCATTTCAGTCAGACCAGGTAGAGATCTAGGAAGCTGTTTTTGAACAATGACATCAGTGCAGTCTGTGGAAGCAGCAGCCAGTGTGAAGCTCTGGAGAGAACGCAGAGCAAAGTGTTGCTGGGAGCAGAGGTAATTCAGCCAGATTGAAAGGAGGAGGAATAGGGTGTTTTTGAGGACTGTTCCAATATGGTAAACCAAGAAGAGTGACACTCACCTGGTATGCAGTCTAAGGTAGCGCCTGCATTCCACAGAGCATTTGTTCCTCCTTGGCAATCACACTTGCATGTTTTTTGGTACCAGGGGTCCTCGCCCTCATCCTGCAGGCAGCCAGAGGAACAGGAAGTCAGAAAACTCGCAGGCAAAGGCAACTGTGGTCAGTGCCTATGGAAAGCTTATTTTCAAAGATCATGTTTTTTCCTTACATATTGTCTGAGTGTTTTGTTACAGTGGCAAAATTGTTACCAGCCTGAACACCTACTGTTGCCACTCATCTTTGATTCTAAATAAACAACTATCTGTGGCCATGGGTGACCAGCTAATAATCTCTCAGACATATCCATGTAGAGGGCGGTGTTCACCCTCTGAGGGCTTGGTGATAGTCCTATATATTAATTCTGATTAATATGAATGCCTTTCTCTAAGACAGGGGTCCGTATACTTTGTCCACAAAGGACCAAACAGTAAATGTTTGTGGTTTTTGTGGACCAAATGATCTCTTTCTGAAGTACTCGATTCTGCCATTGTAGTTTGGAAGCAGCCATAGACAATATGTAAATGTATGAGCATGGCTGTGTTTCAACCCAATGCAAGGTTGGACTTTTTTACATGTCCTGTAGGTTCCTATCCAGGGATCCAATTTTTAAAGGTACTGGATTTGGGATGGAATGTAGCTCAGTGGTACAATGCTTGCTTAGCATGTGGGAGACCCTGGGATCAACCCCCAGCCCCACAATTAGAATACATAAAGGCACTGGATTCAAAACTGAGCATTCTGAGTTAAGATCTGGTTTACTGTTATTCTATCATTAAAGCACCAGTCTTGTTGGGGGTGTTGCTCAGTGGTGGAGCTCTTGCATTAGCATGACCCTGGGTTCAATCCCCAGCATGGGGGTAGGGGTGGGGTGGGGTGATAGTCCTATATATTAATCTTGTCTAAGAAAATTTAAAAAGCAAGCTGGGTTCAGTGGCACATGCCTATAACCCCAGCATCCCGGGAGGCCAAGGCAGGAGGAACTCAAGTTTGAAGTCAGCCTCAGTAATTAGGGAGATGTCTCAAAATAAAAAATAAAAAGGGCTGGGGATGTAGCAGCTCAGTGGTAAGTTCTCCTAGGTTCAATCTCTAGTAATGGGACGCAGGGGCTTCAAAAGCTGTGTCCATGTACATTCCAGCCTTCTAACTGTGACATACCTCTGTAGATGATAATCCCAGTGTGGCTGAGCAAAAGAATAAGACAGGAAAAATGAAATTAAGAAAAAAGCAATTTGACAATATTATTCATTACACAGAAGCAAAAGGAAAATAATCATGTGAAAGTTAACAAAGCTCCTTCTGAAAGAAGTCAAGCTAAGCACCTATCTTCCAGGAAAAACATCCACAGATGCTGAGAAACTAGGGACAGTAAAGTGAAACAGAACAGGATGCTAATTACTATTTTTGTTCATTATGGAATTTTGGAAAATATATTAATGTAGCCAAGCAGGGGAGGAGAGACCATTTATATTTTTCTTCACCAAAGGCAACAATGTTTAGTGTAAATTTTCCCATTTTTCTTTTTTCTTCTGTGCTGGGAATTGAACCCAGGGCTTCATGCATGCTAAGCAGGCACTCTACCACTGAGCTCTATCCTCAGCCCTTTCATGTGTTTTTTTTTTTTTTTTTTTGTGGTGCTGGGGATTGAACCCAGGGCCTTGTGCATGCAAGGCAAGCACTCTACCCATTGAGCTATATCCCCAGCCCTCATGTGTATTTTTTAAACATATTTGAGGGCTGGGGTTGTGGCTCAGCGGTAGAGCACTCACCTAGCACATGTGAGGCCCTGGGTTGGATCCTCAGCACCACATAAAAACAAGTAAATAAAGGTATTGTGTCCCATTACAAAAAATAAATATTTAAAAAACATATTTGACAAGCTACTCTATAAATAATGTTGTATCTTGCTTTCCTTTTCTATTTAACAGTAACAGTGTTAGGTTTTCTCTTATTACTTTTTCATCCTCCTCCTCCTCCTCCTCCTCATTCCTGGTGTCTATCTAATGTACTACTCAGGAGTTGATACCCAGTTCCCTTACCATGTCATAGTTAGATTATTTAGGATTGGGACATTGTTTAGAAATTCCTTTTTAGGTTTTTCTATAATTTACAGGGAATGC